TTATTCATTTATTTATTTATTTATTTGCTGTATGGGTTGATACATGTGTTTGGTTTTGGGATTCACTTCAGATGCAGCAAAAGTGTAAAAATATCTGGTTAAATTTATGGTGAAAAACTAGCAGCTCTGCTAAAAAAGCTCTTGAAAAGCATTTCAGGTTTGACAGGATGACATTTTGGTGCCTGTATATTATGAACTTCATAACTTCATACATCTGTATCTGATATACATTAATATACCGACATAATGGAGTTAAATAAATCTGATGATAAACAAAATAATGATAAAGAAACACATATGATTAATCAAAACGAATCAAAGTTTATCCATGAGCAGTGGTGGTGTTCCCCACATACGCAGATTTACACTCAGACTTTATCAGGGAAACATGCATAATAATGTAATATAAAAATAAAAAAATAATATAAAAATAGTGCAAAATGCCTTCAATTTACTTAACTAATATTCTAAATAATAAGAAATGAAACTATTTAAATAAACATAATTTTACTGTTTCTTACCTTAAAATACAAGATAATGTGGTTATTTTTACTCCTGAAAAATATGTTTTTAAATACAGTATTAATATAATATAATATAAAACTAATACTGAAATAAAAATTAATAAAAACAATATAGACATGTTAAAAACAAAAAACAAAAATTACTAAAATTTCAACTAAAATAAAAATTACAAATTAAAAACATAAAAACAAAAAGTAATTTAATCAATTTATAAAAATTAAAAGGGAAATAAAAACTAAAAGAAAAATAATAAAAACCATAAAAACATATTTGTTTTAAAAAAACAAAACTTTAACTAAAATTAAAATGAAATTGGAAAACATAAAAACTAAAATTCTAACTCAAACAATTAATAAAAACTATAATAGTATCTCATACTAAAATAACACTTTAGAGGAGAAAAAGTCTCCATTTGCACAGCTGTCTAGGAGAAATATATTTATATTTATATTTATATATAAAATGAATGACAGACATGTAATTTAACAAGTCTTTTTTTCCTGTAGCATGTTTACATTGCCTTTCTGTTGAAATGCCTGGGATGTGTTTGTTTTCAGGGCAGCTTGAGTTGAGCTGTTCCTCTGTCTCTTGGCTCGTTACTGCATCATTAATTGTTTTGGCAGCAGCAGCAGCGTCTGATGAAGGTCACACAGACACCGGATGCGAAATGAGAAAAAGACAGGGACACTAAATATACGCTGATGAGCAGAGACAGAGACATGTCCAGTTTGTGATGTGGGACGTCTCGTTACAGATGTTCTCTCAATCTCTCCGGAGAGTGTTCTGAGGGATTCATTCATTGTAAAACTTATTTTAAATATTTATTCAAAAGCACAGGCCTGGTTTTCCTGAACTGAAGACATTTACTAGGACAGGTGACTCAGTTATACAATTCCCAACACACTGCAACATTGGAGAGTCTGGACTCTGTCATTTTTATTTCCAGAGTCAGTGTAAAGCCAGCTTGGTCAACCTGAACTATTCAACAAGTTTAGAATCACATTCCATTCCTCAAATTAAAACATTATTCCTAAATGACTGTGATTCAGTTACAGCGTGTCTATTAACCTTCGACACGATGAATCACACAGATAATCGAATCGAGTCAGATAAAGATCAAAACTGGGTAAATCATCTTTTGAAAGCAATTTGAGCTTCAAATAAAGATTATACCGATTACATCGATACACCGGTAGGTGGCGAAACGTTCTTTCAACCGATTCGTTCAAACACTCGGATTCATTCAGAAACTAACCACTGAAGTCTTAATGAACCAGTCATTCACTCAAACGATTCACTCAAACACTCTGATTCATTTAAGAAGTCTTTATTAACGAGTCATTGAATCATTCACTCAAACGATTCGTTCAAACACGTGGAGTCATTCTGAAACTAACCACAGAAGTCTTAATGAACGAGTCATCGAATCATTCACTCAAACGATTCACTCAAACACTCGGATTCATTTAGAAACTAACCACTGAAGTCTTAATGAACGAGTCATCGAATCATTCACTCAAACAAGTGAATTCGTTTAAATTGACATATATGTTTCTATGCAAAATTTTTAAAATAGGCTAAATCATCTTTCTCCCAGTGATCATTATAATGTTTTTTCGGTAGGCTAATTGAGTCTGACATACTAACTACCTCAAAAATGGAGTAAGCTAACCTCTTTATATTAACTTTTAATTTATATTTTGACATATATTTCCATATTACGATTCACATACCATATGCATTTTGTTTATTGCATTTTTAAATAGACTGAAGCAAAGATAGGAAAGATAGGATTGTCAAAACTTCAGTAAATGGCATGTTGCTTAGCAGTATAAAATAAACATTATTTTCAGAATCATCAGAGTTGTGTTCACTATTTAAAAAAAAAATTTCTCAATTTATTCAAAATATGCAGCTCTTTTAAATTATCTTTAATTCTTTTTTTTTCTTGTTATTATTTGTTACATTGTGGGATGTTGTTGCTAAGGTGTTGCTACATGGTTACCAGGGCGTTGCCATGCAGTTGCTAAGGTGTTCTAAATGTTGTATTTGGTTAAAAATTCTGTATTTGGTTGCTGGGATGTTGTGGGTAGTTGCCAGGGTGTTGCCGTGTGGTTGCTAAGGTTTTCTGAATGTTGCTTTATGGTTGTTCTGGGTGGTTACCAGGTTGTTGCCATGTGGTTGCTAAGGTTTTCTAAATGTTGATTCTGTATTTGGTTGCTGGGATGTTGTGGGTAGTTGCCAGGGCGTTGCCATGCAGTTGCTAAGGTTTTTTTGAGTACTGATACTATATATGGTTGCTGGGATGTTCTGGTGGTTATTATTTGTTACTAGGGCTATATCCTTTAAACAGAGAAATTAGTTTAATTCAGTAACCTGCAACTTTGTGGATGGTGATCCTGCCTGAAAAAAAATCATGATATGATATATTTGCCATACATGCCACATTTCCAGTGTGAGTAATGAACATAATTTTTAACATTGCTTTCTTGATTTATTATTTGATTATTCACACATTTTGATATAAAATTGATCTTTCTTAATATATTTTTTTAATTTTTGAGATGATAACTAGACGCCACTCGAATGACACAAGCAACGTAGCGAGGTCAAGTGTCGAGGTCTTGTTCTACAGTATGCAGTATGCAGTGAGTGAGCTCTTGTTCTACAGTATGCAGTATGCAGGGAGTGAGCTCTTGTTCTACAGTATGCAGTATGCAGGGAGTGAGCTCTTGTTCTACAGTATGCAGTATGCAGGGAGTGAGCTCTTGTTCTACAGTATGCAGTATGCAGGGAGTAGAACGCAGTGCGCGACCCGCTGCTCTGGCCGAGGGGCGGGGCCACACAATGAACGCGAGCTTGATGAAGAGCTGCTGCTCTCTTCAGATCCCAGTCTCAGCAGCAGCATCAGTGCTGGAGAAGGTGACAGAGATCCACACACACGGACGAGAGAGAGTGATGGAGAAGAGCTCTGTCTGATGGACAAACACAGTTTCGGTGAGCACAACCAAACCTTCCTTTGACTTCAGTCAAACACTTGTTAAATCATCCTTATGTCGCTGTCTGAGAGGAAATAATCGCGTTAAAGGGTTTCGTGAGCGTCCAAATGGAAATGATAATGTCTAAAGTGATGCATGTGATTGTTACATTGCTTCATATTGGCAGAATTATTGACACTATTTCATTGTTGCATTGTAAACTCATAGAGTCCTGTTACAATTTCAGACCTAATTTTGACGTTTTGCACATGTTGCTTTTCATCTTTGTGAGCATGCATGATTTACTGTTTTAGCTGAATCTCTTCAAAAACATTAGAAAGACCGATTGATGTAAATATCTTACAATCTCATTTCAGCAGTTTTGCAAAGCAAAGTGAACACTGACCTGAATAGGAACATTTTGAACCATTAACTGATCCGAAAGATCTACGTCCTCTTGAAATAATTACAGTAAATGGCATGAGTACTCATTGTAAAGTTTAATATTATCAAGCTCAGCAGAAGAAAAATGAAATGGAAATCTCTCAAGGTAACCTTAAAGCTGGGCGTTAACACAGGTCAGCACATACTAGATTAACAGGTGATGTGTAAGTGATAAATGAGCTGCAAAACCCGCAAATTAAGAGCCAGATAGGATTATTAGTGTTTTATTGTCCGTCAATAATCTGGGATTTTGGTGCTTCACCACCAGTGCTGGATTATGTAATCAGATTCCAAAAAAATATATACAATTGAGTACTCATAATTAGATTATATTACATTATACAATGCTTGTAATCAGATTACAGTTACTTTTTATGGATTACATGATTGCATATTATTCACGCTTTTTTTTTTTTGTTCCTTTTTTTAAAGGTTACTTTCCGAAAATGTCCATGCTGTACCATTTTTGTCTTTGCTTTTTTGTTATTAATATGGTGCATTTAATGGTACGTTTAAAACAAGTAATCTAAAAAGCAGTCAGGATACATTACCTAAATGAACCTAGATTATGTTTCTAACTACAGTTTTAATCATGTAATCTGTAATCAGTAATGGACTTTTTTTAAAGTAATCTACCCTTCACTGTGCAGCAGAAAAGATGAGCCAAAAATCCAAATTCTGTCATGATTTCCTCGTCCTCATGAACTGTTTTTGATCTGAACGATTCTTGTGGTGGAATAAGGTTGTGTGAACTATATCCGCACATCTTTAAGTGCATGTCGAATGTGTTGAAGTCTGAGATGCTTGACGTTTTCTTTGAGCTCAGACGGTGGGAGGTGAAGTGAAGAACATCTAAAAATGCCTGGCCTCATAACAGGGTTGTGGGATTGTTTGGTTTGTTTGGCTTTGGCATTAAAGCCGTATGGATCGGCTGTATGGTGGGTTGGGTGGAGCGTGTGGGAGTGTGTGCTTATTGTTCTGAGACGAGCGCAGGCAGGATGAGACGGAGATCAGGACACGCTGTGTAAAGACACAGACCTGCGGAGACAGATCAGATGCCAGTTTCATGACTGTATGCTGATCGATATATTCAACCTTTTCATTATTTTAAGACAAGCCTTGTGTTTGTTTTTCCTCAGTCCAGGACGTAAATCCACAGATGCAGTGCATGTGGCTGCTGGAGTGCGAGTTGGTTTCATCTACTTCAGCTGCAGAGAGTTTATGATTCATGTCACTTTGATTTCCTGACAGTAATGTGTGTCCATGCAAAACTCACTGCCATGATGCAAGGGTGTTGCTATGCTGTTGCTAGGATACACCGGGTGGTTGCTATGATTTTCTGAGTGGGTTTAAACACGTCGCTATGCTGGTGCTTGGGTGTTATAGGTGGTTGCCAGGGCATTGCTATGTGGTTGGTAAGGTTTTCTGAGTGTTGATGTGGATGCTTGGATGTTCTGGGCAGTTGTCAGGGTGTTGCTGTGCAGTTGCTAAGGTGCTCTGAGTATTGCTACTGTATATGGTTGTTGAGATGTTCTAGTGGTTGCCAGGCCATTACTATGTGGTTGCTAGGGTTTTATAAGTGTTCCTGTCGCTGCTGGGATGTTCTGGTGCTTGCGAGTGCATTGCTATGCAGTTGGCTTGGCATTCTAAGTGTTGTTTTTGGGAGGTTCTGGGTGGTTGCTAGGGTGTTGCTATGCAGCTGCTAAGGTGTTCTGAGTGTTGTTACTGTAAATGGTTGCTAGGATGTTCTGGTGGTTGCTAGGGCGTTGCTATGCAGTTGGCTTGGTGTTCTGAGTGTTGCTATTGTATATGGTTGTTGGGATATTCTGGGTGGTTGCTAGGGTGTTGCTATGCAGCTGCTAAGGTGTTCTGAGTGTTGTTACTGTAAATGGTTGCTAGGATGTTCTGGTGGTTGCTAGGGCGTTGCTATGCAGTTGGCTTGGTGTTCTGAGTGTTGCTACTGTATATGGTTGTTGGGATATTCTGGGTGGTTGCTAGGGTGTTGCTATGCAGCTGCTAAGGTGTTCTGAGTGTTGTTACTGTAAATGGTTGCTAGGATGTTCTGGTGGTTGCTAGGGTGTTGCTATGCAGTTGGCTTGGTGTTCTGAGTGTTGTTACTGTAAATGGTTGCTAGGATGTTCTGGTGGTTGCTAGGGCGTTGCTATGCAGTTGGCTTGGTGTTCTGAGTGATTCTACTGTATATAGTTGTTGGGATGTTGGCTTGGTGTTCTGAGTGTTGCTACTGTATATGGTTGTTGGGATGTTCTGGGTGGTTGCCAGGGTGTTGCTATGCAGCTGCTAAGGTGTTCTGAGTGTTGTTACTGTAAATGGTTGCTAGGATGTTCTGGTGGTTGCTAGGGCGTTGCTATGCAGTTGGCTTGGTGTTCTGAGTGTTGTTACTGTAAATGGTTGCTAGGATGTTCTGGTGGTTGCTAGGGCGTTGCTATGCAGTTGGCTTTGTGTTCTGAGTGATTCTACTGTATATGGTTGTTGGGATGTTCTGGGTGGTTGCTAGGGTGTTGCTATGCAGTTGCTAAGGTGTTCTGAGTGTTCTTACTGTAAATAGTTGCTAGAGTGTTCTGGTGGTTACCAGGGCGTTGCTATGCAGTTGGTTTGGTGTTCTGTGTGTTTTCCTTTAATCTGGCATAAGTCTGGTCTCTAGATATATTTAACATGCATTTTGCAGTTTTATAATGTAGTTCTCCATATTTAATCTGGCTGATTTGGTTTAATTTCCCGCAGGTTGTTGTTTATCATTGTCATTTTGCTTCAGTATGGAGATGTTGAAAGCATCTGTGAAGCGTCACGACCCCCGTCGGCCCTCATTGACGTTCTCTGAAGGGGGTCTGACTCACGTCTCTCATTCGTAGACGCTGACATTTCCACCGGCCGTGTGTCATGACGGTTTTACTGAAGACTTTTCACGCCATGAATTATTCATGCAAACATCACTGTACGGCACGCATAATTCTGAGGGATTAGGCAGATTGAAATCCTGCTGGCAAAGGTGAATTATACATTAGTCAGTGCGATTAGGCGATGTCATCTGCCTCTGTAATTGATTATTTGATTGGAATGTGTAAGCGGGTTCTTGAAGCGGTGCATGTGAAATCTGAGAATTTACAGATGATGTTTAATTTAAATGGGATTAATTTTTTTAGAGTGCGGCTGCTGGTAATGCTATCAGCCGAGATACTAGAGAGAAACAGATGAAATCCAATGAGGTCCGCCTCAGGCTGTCAGGAACTCGCTGTTATATCTGTAATTTCAGATGGTGAGTGTTTTTCATACCCATCTGTCTGTATGAAGCATCTGCTTCCATCATTGATGATCATTGACTAAATATGACAAACAGGGATTGAAACTAACTTTTTCACTCACCAGCTATTTTGGCTACTAAATTCTTAAGTTACTGGAATCATTATTTTTAAGAAAATGTATTTGTCTAGCTTATGAAAAAACTGCCTCGTACTCTTAATGTAACAATTCTTAATAACTGCAAACCTGCTACATTATTACTCTTTAGACTCTTTAGCCCATTACCTGCCTACATCTGACTGAACTGAGGCGTAGCTGTGATACGAGTTTGAGGAGCCGATGATGACGAGTTTAGACAGATCAACGCAGTGAAGACGAATCCCGTTGAGTGCAGTGTCATCTCCTTGAATAGGATCTTCCACCTTAAAAACAAAACAAAACAAAACAAAAAAACACTAAGACATAAGAAAGAGAAATGGAGTAATCTTAACTCCAAACCTCTAGTGTTCCTGGAAGTACACCATCACACATTTTGGATGTCTACTAAAGATGTGTTCAGTTGAATCAAAAACGTTCACTGTTGGTGTATCTTCAGAAACAGGGCTGGGAATCCCTGGGCTAACCTTCACGTTTCTTTAGTATTAAGCAAAGCAGTCAACAACTCGAGCAGGTACAGTTTCCTTAGAAATACCTGGAACTGAATCACTAAACGCAACTCCAGAGTTGATTTTTTTCTAAGGGTTTGAACCTTCAATCCTCAGTCACCAGCTTACACTTTCAAGCATTAAACAAACCCCATACTACTGTAATGAAGTCAGTTCTTAGCTTACCTTTAGACTGAACCCTGCGGCGTACGTTCCAGTTGGACACATTTCCCTCGGACCCCACGACCCCCATCTCCCTCCATTCGGCACAGTCAGCTCTGATCTGTAATGTCTGTCGATGCTTCGCTCAGAACGTGTTCCTGTGGACTCAACACTCACCTGCAGTCCAGTAATGACTAGCAGTGAAAACATCATGGATATGAACTGATGCATTGCTGCAGCACTGGCCTGATGGATTAAAATACTGATTTAATTCTGTTTGGTTTGTAAATTAAAACTGAACCAGAGCCAGTAAGACTGCTCTAAGGAACAGTTTCTTCAAATCCAGAACAAGAAACCTTTCTGAACTCTCTGTGGCCTGTCAGCAGAATCTGCCTGATTCTTTCACAGCTGCTTCAGAATGCATTTATACAGTTTATCAATACTGTGATATCTGGTTCTAGCCAATCAGCAGCCAGGAGCACAGATGAACACATCAACGACCTGTATGTAAATGAACACACAAAAACACAAACACTGATCCAGCAAAATACCTGTATGCCTATCTTGAGTCTAGAGTCCCCACACTTGTAAATAACATATCTGTACATTCATTTAAACAATTACAATTCACAGAGTGCAGCCTGCGATAGGGCTGCCAACCGTTCCGTATTATATAGAATTGTCCTGTATTTAAGGGATCAAAGAAGCATCCCGTATGAAAGCTATACGGAACGCAGTTTGTCCCGGCATATGCCGCATATGCCGTATGACCACCAGACCATATGAATAACAAATTCTCAGTTGATAATTAATTACAAAAATCATAGGATTTAAATTAACCTTTTCACTCACCAGCCAATTTGGCTACTAAATTTTTAAGTTACTGGCCATTCATAACTTCTACTAGCCAACAAAAATAATAATAATAAAAAACCCAGAAATAAACCAACAGCTTGAGGCTGTCTACATTGAACGTGACCGCTGCAAATCATTTTGTGTCAGAACTAGGGGTGTGCGATATTGGCAAAAAATAATATCTCAATATTTTCTGGAATTTTATCGATAAAGATAATTAGACCATATTTTGCTGACTGTGTTATTGTGCTGATATCTTAAGGACTACCGTGGACAGCTGACTCCTAACGTTTTTGATATATTTCATAGTTTGTGTGATCAGTTCACAGCAGTGATGTAAATGAATCTTTTCCAATAAGTTTAAATTGATTTGTACCTTTTATGTGCATTTTACCTTTTATAAAGCCATTTTTTCTAAAAGTGTGCATCATCTTTTGAGTCAAATTCTTACATTTAATCAGTCAGTTATAATAATAATACATTTAGGCTGATACTAAACAAATGAAATCAGTATCAACAAAATTAATCTTTGCAGAAGTTCCATACGAAGTGGCATTTGGATGTATTTACACGTGTTAATGCAGCTTAGAGGGACATGCTTTAATCTGCAGTTACAAATGCATAAATAATGTTTTGATATTTTAAACATGAAATTTTGAATACTGATATTTGAAATAATTTAAAAAATGAAAAGATACATTAGATGTAAAATTAAAACAATTAAAACCACCAGTAGGCGGCAGCAAGTCACTGTTAATAAGTGAGTCATTGCGACTGAACCGAATCATTTACATGGTTGACTCATTCAGGAACAAAAGACCGTCATGTTGCTCAGAGACACAAACCGGTGCTGTGGCTGTGTTTGGAATGTTTTTGTTGGTGAAATAGAGCAAAAGCAGGCATGGTGTCTAAAACGTAAGTCTCTTGATATTAACTTATTGTTTATTGAACTGTTGTATAAAATCAATTCACAAATCACATTTGTAACCATGCTGATTTTTTTTTTTAAACGGCACTCTTCGTGTGATATTGATTAACTATATGAAATGATATAACTATATACATTTTCTGCCCCCTTATCTTGAAGTATGTGATCATTCTTAATGCATATTAATAGACTGAATCATGCAGTGAAAGAACGCACTCTAAATGCCTACGTGCACTAAGTTAATGTAGTTGCTTATGCGGATGCGTGCACTCTGTAGTAGGTGTGTTTTGTTTGGTGTTTGCAATATTCTCGATAATGTAATGAGTTCAGTATTTGCGCTAAACCTGCACAGATTTGGCTTGCATGAACTTCCCCAAGAAATTAATGAGTGAACATAACTTACAAAAAGTAACCCGCCAAATTGGCTAGTGATTTGACAGCGTTACCCGCCACAGCTGATTTTTACCCGCATTTGGCGGGTTGGCGGGTGTTAATTTCAAACCCTGATGACAAACAAATGAGAATAACTGCATGTGTTCTTAAAAACAGATGCAGTGTTAATAAAAGATCGTAATTAAAAAAGCAACATGTTGAGCAAAAAATAGGTCAGCTTTGCTTCATAATGGAAAGCTGTGCTGGCTCTTTTGCAAGAAGAAGATGTTATTTCTCAGAGGTTGCTCTTTTAAATCTCAAGAGATGTAATGGAGCTCTCAGTTATGTTTCAGTTCAGTTTTTAAAAAACTTTTGAAAAAGTTATATTAATAACAACTGATATGAGTCACTAGTTTTCACCCAGTAAGAATACAGGACTATAAAATGAATGTGGAAAGCAGCTCATATCATATGATGAGAACTGATTGAGTTCATATTGCAGACTTTTGTGTTTTGGCAAATGTGAGCACAGTTTGAGACACGTGAATACTGGGGTCTTTTTCATCACACTTTATCTCATTGCTGAAATATTAACACTGCAAAAGTGATTTTCTTGCTTAGTATTTTTGTCCTGCTTTCTAGTACAAACATCTAAAGATTCTTAATTCAAGAACAGGGTTATTATTGTTAACTGAGTCAAAAACGAAAACCTTAAACATTTTGATTACTTGAAATAAAATAAAACAATAACTGAAATAAATAAAATGTAAACAAACAAAAAAAAGTCACCTTATTTTGTCTTGTTCTTGTTCAGTTTAAGTTGAAGTACTAAAATAACTAAAACTAAATAAAAAATAAATATGTTAAACAATAATAGAAATGACAAAAACACACCACAAAATGACTAAAACAAACTAGAATTAAATAAAATCTCATTCTAAATATTGTATATCAATGATACTAAAGTAACACTGATTAAGATACATTTACTTGAGATGCACAATGACTCTTAGTTAAAAGTCATAAATGAAAATGCATTAAAAAGAAAAAATAATCTGTCAGTGGGGTCAGAAAAATAATCTGGTTTTGTCTTTGAATTAACTTCATTTTTTTTAAATATTTTTTTCCTTTTTTAACAATGAACTTACTTAATTTTGATACATTTTTCAGAAAAAAAACAAAAAGTCATTGAAGTAAACGTATCTTAATCAGTGTTATTTGTAGTGGAAAATCATTTGTGATCTCATTTGTGATTTTTCTTGTAGGCTTGGATTCTAGACGAGTTCTTCTTTCTGTCCCGCCCACAGGATGATTGACAGCCCCGTGAACCAATAGGCAGGATGATCGCTACCGGCGGGCTGCTGAGGATTTCCCGGCGCCAGGACTCGCTGCGAACCAAGAACCGCGCGGAGAACAAGAAGAAGAGGAAAGCCACGAAGAAACGCAAGAACGACGTGGTGGTGGTGAAGGGCAAAGTGAAGCTGTGCTCCGTCTCTGGGCTGGTGGCGGTGCTGGGGCTTTTAATCCTGATGATCGGCGTCGCCATAACCGTACTGGGATACTGGCCCAGAGCAAACAACGAGAAATTCATGCGACGAATAAAAGAGGAGAACCTCACAAGCAATAACGAGTTAGTGAAGTCAAACGAGCCGGACGGCGCAAATGCCTCATCTGGCTTCTTCAAAAGCCTGTTTGCTGGTTATTTATACTCGGATGACCTCAAAGTGTTTGGACCGTTGGTGATGGGCATCGGGATTTTCCTGTTCATCTGCGCCAACGCGGTTCTCCACGAGGATCGCGATCAGAAAACCAAAATAATCAACCTGCGAGACATTTACTCCACGGTCATCGACATTCACAGTTTGCGCGCCAAAGACTGCGTCCCGTTCAACAGCCTCATCATGCAATCGAAGAGCGATAAACCCGCGTCTCCGCGAAACTACAGACGCCCATCGTGCGCGAGAAAACACAGCGTGTTTCCGAACCCCCAGTCGTTCGCCGACACGATTTCTAGCATATATCACGGACCCGAGGAGGCCTTCACGCTCCCCGTCATCAAACTCAACAACTGCGACATGCAGGAGAACGAGCTGGCGCGGCGGAAGAGTTGCGGCGCAGCGGTGGAAACCAAAGCAGAGGTCTCAAGGACACGGATGTCGCTTTCCCAGGATTCAAAGCTCAACATGGCGCAGGTCGCAGGGTCGCACCTGTCTCTGAGCGCGCTGACGGATTCGGGCGACAGGTGTTTGGACGAGAGCTCGCGCAGGTTCAGCTGTCCCAGATTGGAGCGATCGGGCAGTAAGGGCTACATTAAACTGGCTGATCTGGGAGGAG